TAGGGTAGGTCGCATAGCCTCATGCTACATCAAACTACCCCCTACTTCTCTCTTCTCCTTTCCACATTCATGAAAAGGACATATCTAGTTCTAGGCATGCAGTATCCAACATTGTCAGAGATCTCTCTCACTCAGTATCATACGTCTGAGAATGGACAATAGCAAGTGCCTAGGCAAGAAAACGAGTACACACCAAATACCTGGAGATAATTTTCAGAAACTTTTCCCTAATCCCCCAGCAGTTTGGCATTGCCCAAATCAGAATTTCTGCCCTTGAATTAAACAGCTGGTAATGTAGTTTTTCATACTTATAGGAAACTTTATAAAGAATTCCTGAAAACATGACTAAACACACAATTGCCACTGAATAGGTTGCCTGTGTCTGGGACACATGACACCTATTCACTTACATGAGTAGTGCTACAGAATTCAACAAGATAGTGACACTTCTGCCAGAATATATCTACAACTCAGGAGTAGCTTTGCTGCAAGATCGATAAACAGGAATCATTTTAAGAAAGTTACTGCTTCCTATTCATAACTTGCAAGAGGCATCTATTAACACTTAAAAGATCATGCTTCAGAACATTTCTTCTATATTGTTAAAATTCCAGGCTATTAGGATCAGAAAAAGACATTCTGAGTAAGTTAACAGCCCTCTAAGCAGTGATCAGTTTTACTGCATCCTTCCTACCTGCAGAGAACAGGAAGATAAGAAAGACCATAAATTCACAAAACATAGGCTTAAATCAGGAACAGATACTAGCAAAGCTTTTTCATCTTAAGGTGTGATAGACTTTGAATAGGCTATCAGCAGCAGTATTATGGGGTAAGTGAGCACATCCAGGCATATCAATCAGCAGACTGAGAGGTCATTTAACTCTTGGGACAGAAATAGATCTTCAAACAAGAAACTAGGGAGAAAGCAGTTCCTGGACAGTTACATCCAGCTGTGGCTACATATTGTTTTTTTAAACAGATAACTTTTTGTATCACTCTTATTTAAATCCCCAAGCTAGGGCATAAATAGTTGGAAGGCTTCCTTCTGTCTGCATACGGTTAGCTACACCAGGAAGAGAGTGTTAATTCAAGATTTAGAAAAAGACAAATTTTGTCAAAGAGTGCACAGTTATGACAGCCCAGCAATATCCTGCTGATGAAAAATTTTATACGTAGGAAGTGGAGTTAGTTCAAAGGAGTAATAAAAGCCTGAAAATTTGACTCTTACAGTGACACTAGTGAAAAGGAGGTTTTAAACTTATTCCAAAGTCTGTTTGATAAGTCAAGCTCAGAAGAAAGTTAAATTGCTATAAATTTATTATAGCATATTTAAAGGATGTTAGAATTTCAATGATTTAAAGAGCAAAACAAGGCAAGTTTAAAATAACTTTGGTAGATCAACAAGACTTACAAGACTTTACAAGTCTATATATCTTTTCTACCAAAAACTTAGTGTTAGGATATTTTAAAAAATATCTTTTAAACATTGTAGGCAATGCCTAAAAGCCACCACCAGTTTGCAATTTGTAAAAGGACTTACTTTGACTGCTGACTTTTCTTGAGTGCGTTAATACACTTGCCTAAGATCAGGAGAGAAGTGTTTATATTTCCACTCTCTTTCAATCTTTCACCTTCATTGTGAGTCTTGGCACTTCTTTCTGAACCAGCAAGATCACACATTGACAATCTGAAAGCAGATAAGGAGAATTCACTTTACTAACCTTGGAATATGCACAAATTATTCACTTTTAAAAACCATCACTGTTTCTACAGTAAGAATTTCTTCATCTTAATCTGCATGAACCCTTCCATCCTCTTCAGTGTTGCTTCACCAATCCAATTTCACGCTGCTTCTTGCCAAACCCTCTCCCAACACACCTCCCATTTTTCCCCTATCCTCTTCCTTCTGAGGACTTACATGAATTCTGGAGTATAGCAGTCTAGCAGAACCTTGTTCTGAACAGCAGGCACAAGATACAGAACAGCATTACAACCTGATGGCTTGAGGTAGAGGACCAAGTACTGTATGAGTGTAGGAAGTGGGGAAACCACCATACGTGCATGAGGATCTACCAGGGAGCACTGGGTGTTTAGTACAGTACCAGTAGACCAACATGGATAATTGACAACTTCATCATAAAAGAAGAGGGGAGACTCTGCTCTGAACTTACTCATTGACTCGAGTCACTCGTGGTACTCCTGAATCTTCAATTTTTAGTATCTTAACTGTGAAGATTCTGTGACTAAAAGGAGATGTATAAATCAGCGGAGAAGTGATAAAGTAGACTAATACCTTCAAAATATTTTTAGTCCCCACAACATCTGTTCAAAACATTGTTGAATCTGTAAACATATCTAAGTACATATTCTATCAGATACAAACTTCTAAAGATATTTATGTAGCACTTATTTTTCTTTTTCCTCAGACATTTAGATGGAATAAAGATAAGTGCTTTTGCTTGAAGGAGAGTATTTGATAAAAAGCTTCTAGCTTTTGTATATGTTCATCTTATTAAAGGGTTGAATCCTTTTGGCTTAAAGCATTGGGTCACTCACTACTAAAGGACATGAAAACTGAAACCTGGATATCTAGACCGTGTTAAAGCCTCTTCCAATCTTATAAACCACAAGCCATATTTTAGTTTCTCCTTCCTCCCACACACCACCCTATACACAAAATCATTAGAAATGTTTCTCACCTTCTGTTGGAGTAAGTATTTAGTTTTGTGCTTGCAACACTCTGGCGTTTCAATCCCAGTTTTAGAAGTCTAAAAGCTTCTTTAGAATTAGAAGTCTGAACCCACTGCAGATCTACAGGAAGAACAAACATGAAAATCTTGTAAATATTATCAAAAAGAAAGAAGGGATTGGGGACAATGTATGCACACCAAGAATAATACATTTACTTGAGACATACAAACATTTTACTAAGCCTGCTTCAGACAGAAATTATATGATGACAAATATGATCAAGATTCCTTCTTCCACAGGAAAGAAGTATATCACATCATTTCATCCTATTTGCACACAGAAATGTGTTCCATACAAATTGAGTGAACAATCTTAGCTTGAGCACTGATAAGCCAAAAGGTAGGATCTAATATGAGTATTTAAGCCCTATGTTCATATTCATCAAGGCAGAGTTCTAGCTGGACAGCTTCTCTCTTTTAGCCTTTGATTTGGGGAGGAGGGGAGGTGGGGCGTTGGGAAGTCACCTGAACATCTTTCAGTGCTATCAACTGAAAAAGATCAGTGAAAAATTTTGTCTGCAATATGACGACTGTATATTGTCTCAGTGTTGTGCTAAACACCTACAACCCTACGAATAGAACTCATAATATGAACATTAAGGTCTCTGTTAAGCCTCTGTAGCCACACCAAAAGTGTAGTAGGAAAAATAATAGCTGTGACCAAGAAAAACAAGAAAATTATTAACTGGTTTTCCTCAAAAACATCAGGAACAGCCTTACACTTCCAAGCTTTATTAAAAGAAGATGACACTGAAGCATAGCTCAAAGCAGACTTATTTCATACATTTTCTAGCCTTTGAGGAAATGAAGTAGTTGGGTTTATGGTCCAATTCAGCTTTTTGAATCTATAGTTTGGCATATGAAAGATAAAAGCAGCAGGCCAAACACCTACAAAAAAGCCTTGAATCTACAATTGTTGTCTTGACAGTCCAAAGAACCTGTAACAAATCAAAGAGGTTTCAAACAAAATTTCTTCCATTGCCAGAAACAAATATTGGACTGTTATTTTGAGTTCTGTTAACTCCCTGCACCCCCAAGCCAAAACAAATTACATCATAGGTTTGATTAGAATCTAGTACTGTAAAATGTAACTTGTAGTCACACTGAACTCTCACATATTCTCTGAAATCTGTTTCTCTACAGAAAATACTAAAAAAAGAACTGTTGAGCCAATTATAACTATAGCTAAGAACTTTTGCAGTCTTTTTTTAAGAAAATGGGAAAAACAAACCACTAACAAATTTGTCAATAGTTTTCCATTTTTCTCCCATTTAAAAGAAATATCAAGGCAGTGGAATGCACAAAGGCTTTTAAGAGTTAATAATAAAAAGAAAATGCTATTAAAGGTACAGATACTTCTAGCTATGCAGATTCATACTCAAGGTAGACATTTCTAGTGCCACAGTGAATGCAGTTCAGGGTTTTCTAATCTAGAAAGAAACATTACAGGAAGACTAACTCCGCAAATCACATGTTTGACAATTTGCAATGTATTCTAATCACCTTTTAGATAAGTACATCCCCTGATGTCTTGAGCAAGGCGCAGTGTTTTACTTTTCTTGTCATTCGATATAGGAACCAGTAGATCATAAAAGCAGTCATTGTAAATCTCAAAAAATGAAACCCAAACAGAAAACTTCACACAATTTTCCACACTTGTGCTAGATTGTTCTGAGTCCTTTAAGAGTTCTTTCACATCTGCCAAGTACAAAATATTACAAGTCAACATAGACCTAGAAAAGTGAATTTCATTTTAAAAAATTAATAAGTGAAAACAGATATTACAGCAGCCTTCTAAAAACACTTACACCAGACAAAAATCCATTGAAATTCCCCCCCTCTTAAGTATCTGGAAGTCACATGTTTACCCTACACATTTGCAAGAGACACCTACTCTACCACTTCCTTTTCCACTTGCAAATTCTATCAAAGATGTACAGCTTGGTTAGAATTATTCAAGTCTCCCCAATACCTTAGAAGACAGAATTAAACCAATGAGGACACTTCATTCTGACCTTTTAAAGCAAACCTAGTATTTAAGTAGTTTATAAATGCCAGAATTAGGTTTTTCTAATTACATGTAGGTACTCTAAAAGCCTGTCAGGGTACCACTGGGGCCCACAGCATTAGTAGTACTACCTTTCATTGCTATAGTTGCTATAGTTTCATCTCATTTAACACCTGTTCAGGTATTCTAACCATTTTATCCTTGTGTTTTCTGCCCAGATAACTTGTTCACTGTCCAATTCACAGTCATATAAAAACACCAAATAGTAATTTTATTATTAACATAGGCCTGAAGTCAGTTATTGACCTTAAGAAAACTTCTTTGCCAGGTTTAATTGCAATTCTTTAATATAAAAACATACCTTTAGAATCAACTGGTGCTTTGCTGCTAGTGCTTTTTTGATAGTCTACCTACAAAAGAGAACAGACTTTAACATATGGGGTTGACAGTACACCACCAGCACACCACTAGCTAATTTCATCCTACTAGATAGGAATACAGCGTAGATGCGATATGCCAATACAAAGATTCTGTACACTCCTGTTGAAAGGGTTATCTTCATAATCATTCCTGACACTTCCCTTACATCAGGCCTTGCCACAGTATATAGCAACTCAGCTTGCTGAATCAGAAGAAAACTAGCCACAGAAAAAGAGATGAGTGGGAGTCACCACAGAAACAGGGTGATTTAACAGGATGATTTACAGGAGTGCAGTTGCAGTTTACACATTTCTCTAGATTCACCAGGTTAAGAGTGTCCTCAAATTTTTTATTATTGGTATTTTGCTAATTCAGAATTACATGTCTTACAGCTTATTAGGTCAGCCCTCAGAAACAGATATAAATGTAGAACACTCATTCACTTGAGAAATTAAGTGACCAACTTATTGCTTCATCATACGGGCTGTAGAAACCTTTCACAGTTGAAATCAAGTCTAGGTTTCAGAAAGAAAGAAAATGTCCTTCTACAGAGCTCTTAAAAAAGTAAAACAAATCTCTGCAGCTAGAGCTTATAAGGTTCATACACACACACTCTATTCCCAGTCTTAGTTTTGGTTGGCTTTTTAGGCACAGAACTGCAAAGAAGTGCAACTTATCTACCAAAACAAATACACTTCAGGGAAGAAACAGGGATTAAAAACAGGTTTAGTTTGGGCTGGTTTAGGTTTTTTTTGGTTTTTTGTGGGGTTTTTTTAGTGTTTTGTCAAGAGTATATTTCATATAAAGCTGGGATTCCATAAAGTGATTCCTGAAATAGTTAAATACTTATGTAATCAAAACTTTTAGGTTTAAGCTTTATACTCAAATCTGTCTTCGCTGAAATAGATGCAAACTTCACCACCAAATTTATAAGCTGAGGTATTGTTCTTAAACACTTTTAGAAACTAGAGGGGATATATATATATACACACATATATTCAAACACAGATATGTGACAGGTTTCTCTGAAGTCCTTGAAAGACTGCTAGAGTTAGATTTAATATGTGCCTGTGCTTTTGAAGTGAAGTCTAAAGATTTTTGCTGACACCTGCCTTCCACACTGGAGAAGTGCAGTTAACTAAATCATGAATAAAAAAAGGTAACAGCCAGAACACCCCATTATAACCTAGCATACCAATAGGGAGATGCTTTATTATTAAAAAAAAGCACAATAATCCCTTTCTAGTTCCATTTCCCAGTATATGCTCAATTTTTAATATTATTCCATTCATTTCAGAATTAAAAACACCAAGAAAAAGGTATGCTTATACAGTTATGGGGGATTAATATTTTGTAACTGGGCTAAACAGCTTGAGAATTCCAGGTAACTCATAAAACTGAAGCATGTTTCTGGACTGCTCAACAGTGACCTGCTTAAGAATAAAGTCCAGTAGAAACATTTTAATTCAAAATTTTAGAAAACCACATAGCTCTTCTGTTTAAAAAAAAATTCCTTTGAGGATATTTGACAAACTGGAAGAGGAGAACAGTGTAAAAATTATTAACTTCGGTCAAGTATCCTGAAAAACAGTAAGTTGCTGAAAGGAGCAGACCTATTAGCATCCCCACTGGTGGAGAGACTACTTGCATTCAGTCCTTATTAAGCACCAGTAACCCCAAAAGATAAATTCATAGGTGTCCAAGATATAAAAGAAAAAGCTTAGAGTTTACACCCTATCAAGTAGTCAGCCACAAGACAGAAATCCACTGGAGAACAGGGTTCATCAGCTTTACCACTAGTTGGAATAGCTGGCTGAGAGCAGATAGACATACCCACACTTAAATACAAATAGCCTCTTCCCAGTGAAAAACAGACAGGGTAACACTGAGCTATCTAAAGAAGTGTGTACATATCAGTACAGAAAGAAGTGCTCCTCTACCTCTTTTTTTAGGCGAAGTATTGAATTTTTAATAGCACTTTCTTCCCTCACTTGGTCTTTAGTCAGCTTTATATAATCTCTGCACCGATAAGGTTTCAGATCCATTGCTGTGTATAGCTTTCCTTGAATACTTTTAAACAGCATATCCATACTCCTTGGCAGAATACCAATGTCATCTTCTGTCCCTGTAAGCAACATCCAAAAGGAAAATCCTAATTATTACTGTGAAAAAAGGTATACAGATAAATGAAGACACAAAGATAAGCAATTCTGATCTCAAGACATACATGAGGAATCTGGAGACCACTTACAGCATGAAGCAGTGGTTTTGCATGTTCTCAAGGTAACAAAAATGTCACTAGAGTGTTTTGAAAGTTATTTGGCTTTCAGCAACAGCTCATGTGCTGCCTCTTAGACAGTAAGGGGCATAACAAAACAGACTGCTAGGGTGTTCTGCATAAGCTTGCCTTAAGGAAAAAAACAAACAAACCACAACCAACAGACATTTAATAGAGATTTGCAGTTTTTCAATTGCATTTCATAGGCTGTCTTCACCCTTTCAAGGAAGCAATCTTATAATACAGCTGACAATTGATCTCTCAGGTGCACTACTCCTGTACTGATTCCACAGACTCTACAAAAAAAGTTCTAGAAGCCTTGTGAAGACTCCTTTCAACATCCAGACCTTTTCCTCAGAGCATACTGCTGTTACACCTGAAAGGCAAAAAGGAGTCAAAAAAAGCCTCAGTGCACACTTGATCTTTCTGAAGCCAGATGTAAATTTAAAAAGGGTTCACTTAACTTTGATTTCTAAACCACAGAGAAAAAGAGGAGACAGAGGAGAGTGGAAGAGAAACTGCTGTCCTGTCTCAGGCTCTGACAGCATCATCTTCCTGCCTCTGACAGTTTCTCCTACTCCTGAGACAAATGGGCTTTTATCATTTACAGCAGAGCTGTGTTGCCCAAGTCAGAACTTACATAAAATCTGGTTGGCATTCAAACACCAAGCTAGTAACCAAGTAACACATTAAGTTACAGTTGCATTACACTTTTCTCCTCCTCCCCTCTCTAATCATTTTTTATTTATTATAATGCCACTTGTAATTCAACTTAACATGTACAGTAACAGTCCTAAAAAACTGCTTTGTCCTTAAGTCCTTTGCCATTGACTAAAAACAGGTTCCCACACAATGTTGAAGTGGAAAGGCTGTATTGATAATCCTGGGAATAAAAGAAGAGAAAATCATGGCACCCAGTTAGCAACATTCCACCCTGCCAGTTCTTATCACAGGTTGATATTGAAGTTCTAAAAATATAATGCCGTGAAAGTGTCTTCAGAGTCTGAAAAGATGTGAATCAAAAAATTCTTGAAAAACCAAACCACACAAGATGCCCCAAACTAGTACCAGGGGGATAGTACACTTGAGGAATTTTGCTTTTTGATATTACTTATTATTCATTAGGACAGAAAAGAGCATCCCATTATTGCCCCAGATTAATGACAACCGGAAGTACTAGGAGTAGTCTTCATTTATAATCCACCTACCAGAAGGCCACTTAGAAGACAATATCACTTCAATAAAGATCAGTTTCACATGGCACAAATTTCAGTGCCCTTCTACTATTTCTGTGTATAAAATAAGCAGCATAGCATCTAGAGCTGCCATTTTATTAGAGTTGTTTCCATGTGAATCAAATCACGTCATTTGTCAAAATGGTTTGAAAAATAATAAAGAATGACATCTTCTGACCAGAAAAGATACTGAGCTTTAACAGTACAGCTATAGTGCATCAGGAGACAAGGTCTCCTAGGATAGTGTTGATAAGCTCAGAAACTTGAGACAAGACAGAAATACTTGGAAGTAATCCAACATGTTTCAAAATGTTTGTTCTCTGCCTGTAACAACTGAAACAATCCCAAACATGATTCCTTATTTGAAGATGGTACATACAAGATACATATGACCTTTATAATAATAATTAAAAAATAACTAAATTGCTAGTTTAGAGTGATTTACACACTTTTCACATGCTAACTCGCCCTCCTCCCCAATACATTCAGGGCCAGAGGGGAAGCAGTCACACACACCCGGTTAAAGTTATTATAGTCTTAGAAAGCAACATCACTATATGCTTATGCAAACTCTGGCAGTGACTCTGTGATACTTGTTATGGAATAACACTTTCAAAGACTGTTTATTACTATCCAAGAGAAATCAATGTATAGGGCCTACAGTTTAAGCAAAGGAAATAAGTTTTAATACTTCTGCTAGAAGTAATCCTCACCTTAAAAAAAGGAAGTTACTTAAAGAAAAACACATTTATACTTATACCTTGGAAAGTGTACGTTTTCCCAGCATTTGTAACACCGTATGTAAAAATAAGACGATCACATCCATCTAAGAATTCTTGCACTGGTTGCTTCATGGTACCTTCAAAGAATTCTTCTTGAGTTGTTTCAGGTCCAAACACCTGAGCATTACCAAGAAATATCTTTATATTGTTTAAGCAATCATTAGAGACTTTTAAAGATTTTTTAAAATTCTGTATGTTTATAAATTCAAAGACTATTGACAGTTAAAAAAAAATCTAGTTTGCTTGGTATTGAATAAAATAAGTTAAACAACTTTTTCCAGGAATAAAGTAAAAACTTTTAAAGACAATTAATTTACTTGTGAAAAAGTGAACTTCTGTATCATCTGTCCAGCAAGTTTTTCACTTAGTTGACTCAAAGTGATTTTGGGGGGCCTCAGTATGATCCTTGTCAAGTTTTCAAGGGAAACACACTCCTATTAAAAAGGAAGCACAAGCAATGCAAGCATGAAAAAAAGCATAAAGAGCTCAGCAACAGGAAAACACAGCCCCATACATTAAAATTATTTTTAAACTAAATAAATGTCACACCTGCGATTCATTTTCTCTTTCCAACGACGTAAATGGCCTAATACGCAGGCAAACTTGGATGTGTCCCTTGGACCCCAATCTGTTCTTCTTAAATAAAAACAATAAAAAGGGAAGTTAGAAACTTGACTAGATCCTTTGTTTGATAACCAGCATATCAAGGCAGTTTTATTTTCATCATGATACTCTGAACAGACTTATTTGATGACATGGGAAGCAAAAGTAATTCACTACATCAGTTTTTACGAGTGCTTGGGCCCATGAAGCAGTTCACTGTAATAACTTAGAGTTAATAATCTTGCAGCACATTACATATATATTTAATATATACACACATATACACTACATGTATACACATAGATGCTACATTCAAGCCAACTAGAGATAAGAATGAAACCCACAAAAACATTCTGTGAGAAGCAGCTCTGAACTGGCAATTAGCCTCATTCACAGAAGACTGATGCACCCAATAAGGTATCACAGTGCCACACAACTTAAGTCTAATGCTACATATCTCCTCCCAGTTAAAAGCATACTAAAGATGCTTTTCATCTTCTTTGTAAAATTCTGGTTATTCTTATCAATGAAAGGACTAAGCCTATTAAAAAATCCAAACAGTGCAAACATTAAAGCTTTCTTACCAGGCTTGTGTCTGAGCTTGAAGAAGTCAAAGAAAATTCATCAGAGAGATCTTCTTTGATATCTTCCATACTGACAGGCTCTGTTCTTTGAGGCAGGTCAGCACTAGCAGCATAGGATGGTCCGGAAAATTTTTCATCACCTAAGTTAGTTTCCATCCTGTCATGTAAGATTAAAACTATTTTTTGTTCTCTGGCCGTATAGAGTTTCTGAACTCACTTAGAAGACAAGTAAATTTGAGACTGATAGCTGCAATTTCTTTAAGGAGAAAGCTTTCTTCATCCTATTCATAATTTACATAGCAAGTTTCTAAACAGATGGGGAGAGGATCTGCAGAGGGGTTTGCATCACACTGAAACAAGAACTACCGTTCTTCTTTCAGTGAAAAGAAACTGTTTCAGGGAAAGTCTTACAGGTATACCACAACCTTGCTAAAAACCATGTCTGATGAGGAAGACATAATTAAAAAAAACCCTAAACCAAAAACATGTTGTTCCACATCCACCTCTCCATCATCCCATTATAGTGTCCATTTAGAATAAAAGAGTAACCAAAATTTCACGGTTATCTCCATAGGACCTGATAAATAGTTGGTATTATGAAGATAACACAACGTAACTTAAAACAAGACTTAAAGAAATTGCAGCTATCAGTCTCAAATTTACTTGTCTAAGTGAGTTCAGAAACATTGTGAAGACTAATAGATAGTTTTAGCTATTAAGGGGACACTAGAAAATTAGAAAACCTCATATCAGAGTACAAGTTAAAGTGCTGCTTTTTAGTAATTGTTTCCGTTATTTCACAGATCAGGAATTAATTTATTAATACATAATTTATTTATGTGTATCTCAGAATCTGGGAAGTGAAAATTTGCTATAGAAAATGAAAGTAAGTTGATTTAGTGTTGATAGCAGAACAGGTAAATTTCAAAGCAGTCTTTTAAAAGCGCATTTTATTTAAAAATATTAGTTTATTTTGTCTGCTTTTTTATATTGCTTTTTCCTGTGATACTACAGATGTGACTTGGCAGCTTTTGTTACAGGTTAAGTTTAATGTAATTAATTGGGCAATTAAACTATGGCAGCAAGCGTTCTAGCAATTAGACACCTACTGCATGGCCTCCTAGTTTTGAAGCTTTGGACATGACAACTCAGTGGTCTAATACTACATTGTCACGTCTATGCTACAGTGATGCATATATATAGTCTCTAAATACTAATGGAGAGAACACAGTGTTCATTAAAATGATGAACAGACCAGGGCTGGTTCAAGGACCCTTTGCTCAGGGAGAGTGTTGTCTATTAAGCAGCCATAACATTTTTATTTCCCCCAGCATAAAACCTGGAACACACCTGCACTTCAATGTCAAAACACTTAACAGCTCAACCTTCCTATCTAGTCTGTAAAAGGTAAAGACAGAACTTCAGGAAGCTAGAAAAATGTTACCAAGCTGCAAATAAGGTGAAGCCATACATGAACTAAGCAGCAATGCTCACTTGGTTTCTTCTAATCTACAGGCTTTATTTTTGTCAGGTAACTCTATGAGGACAAGGAAAAACTTGGCCTGAAACATTATCACAGCTTGAACAAACACTGACCTGTGAATAAGCTACTACTGGAAAGAAACATACCTGAGCTGTCACAATCTAGAAGCCTTGTTCATCAGCTACAGGAAGTCACACTGCAAAACTCTTCTCAGGCCTTGACAGGAAACATTTTTTAGATAATTGACATTTAAGTTGCTTCAAATATAAGCTTATTTCAAAGTGTGATTTGTTGAGATGATTCTCTCATTCTCTGCCTTTTTATGTAAGAGTCAAAAGACAAACATTATGCTACGTATGCAAAGCTGAAACTGAAATAATTCATGTGAGCCCAGCATTCAGCCTGTAAGGTTCACCCACTGACAGTATGCCTAACCCAAGACACAGGCTGACCATCTGTCTCCACATTGTCATACAGTACAGCAATTACCTTCGATATTCTGGTGTAAACAGGTATATTATCTGGCTGTAGCCACTAAAGGTACTTATATACTAATACATGTAATTGCGACTCTGCTTGTCACTATAATAAGAGTTTCGAACGGTAGACACCCTGAGAGAAGGGGATCCGGACGGGCACAGCGAAGCGGGATCACAGTGCACGTGCACCGTGTAGCACTGTCAGGAAGCACAAGACAACGTAGAAAAGACCCCAAACCACACAGTAAGCCTGACAGCTTATACAAAACGTAAAGAAGTAGCAGCCTTTAAGCTTAAAAAAAAAATTACAAGTAAAATTTTCCCTCTGCAAATATCACTCTTTCACTTGGAGGCTTTGCACTGCTTTTCCGTTCCTGTGGGATACTGCCGCACGGCTTTGTCAGCACCACGGCCAGGGCCGGGCCGGGCGTCACCCACCCCTCGCACGCCCCACAGCAATACCCAAAAGTTTTCACACACCACGACCACCCCGGCTTCCGCCTGTGA